GGGGAAAATGTTTGTTATCACAAGAGTGCTGAGTTATGGACAAAAGTCAGGCCGCAAACTGAACTCGAACCTGCACCATTCATCGGGCCGTTTGTTATCAAATACGCTCCCAGGCCGCTCTTGTTCATGACGTAATGGATAACGCAACCGCTCGGTAAGCGGAGGATGCGGGTTCGAGTCCCGTCTGGTGCCTGATTTTTGCCGATGATCTACACTCTTGTGATAACTTTCGGAGCGCGCACTGTGGCGTCAAAGAGCAAACATCAAACTAAAACAGCTTCGAAAATGACGTTTTTTTCGCAAAATCAGCAAGGAACGGAAGAATCACAAAAGATTTCAGATGTATTGATTTCCAATTGTCCAGTTGGAAGGAATCTATCGACTCGAATCTAAACTCATTTGTACTGACGCTCACGCTCTCCATGAGCCGTTTGCAAAACGACTCATGGAGCGTCAGGAAAGTTTACTTCGCACAGAGGTAAACTAATGAAAGATCCATGGTTTGGTTTTCTTGAACGCTATGGTCCATGATTCAATTTTAATGACTCAGCCCTGATAACAAACTCTATCGATAAGCGCCCTAACGATAAGTTTCTAGGCACGTTAATCCACGGATTCGAAGGGTACAGAGGCTGAGGCTGGTTTTTTTAGCAATTGTACACATTATTCATTTACTTCATCATGCTACGTCCCGTTTCTCCAGTTTCACAATGTCTTTACGCGGTTTGAGGGATGGCAAAACGTGGTTGTGACATAGCAGGGGATTATTTTGGTACAAATCGAAGAGTATCAATTTATCACTACTGTCGCATTACAACCTCGCACACTACGTTGTTCTAAGCGCGACTGAATTTGGGGAATAATTTGTGTTCTTACGAATAACATACGATACAATGCTCTTGCGGCAAAGCCCTACGAAACCATTTCCATCAAAACTACCTTGAACATTGTGGAACCTCCTGATAAAACAATATTTTCATATAAGCCTCGACGAACATCGATGGGACACTGTTGTATAACATTATCGATTATATCCGAAATAGGCGTAGTAAAGTCCGGATTAGCGAACTGGAAAGCAAATAGTTCTGCGAAGAAAGGGATTATCTGCGGTGACTCAGACTTAATTTCCCTACAACACGAAAAACAAGATGCAATGAAGGTAAACCTCAGGATGGAAGAAAATTTCTGGACCAAGGAAACGTTCGTATCCTACGTCGACGACAAACTCTTTCTTGGTGATATTATTAATACCATGATAGGTTTTCAACCACTTTGAGCCATCCGTATCATATTTTATGAATTCTTTGAGAATATCAGGGCAAACGTAGCAGTATCTTTCCTGAAAAAAAATCATAAATGCTCCATACAAGTGGACAGCCGAGTAAGTAACCTCACCTTGATCGCCTTTGCCACTTCATACGATTGATCCGAAGGAATTGTAGGTTCTCTATCTCTCAGTATTTGCTGGATAAAATATGTGATATCTCTACCAGCGATGGGGATATGCTTGATACATGATCCTATAACGTATCCTTCCGCAACTGGTATGCAATGGGTTACGCCGTCGCCGGAGTCAACAACCTGTCAAAATAACGAAATAAGACACTCTTTTTCTGTTTTGCATTTCTGCGCTTTTAAAGCAATGGTACCCCTATAGATAAACCTCCCAAGAATGCCAAAATCTACTTGTGTGCAATTCCTGATCAAACTCTGTGATGATTACCAGGAATTTGCTGAACTTTTGACTCCCTATTTACTGTTCCTCTGCAGTTTTCTTGCACATTTAAGAAGTGACTGTGAAAATCCCCTACAGAAAACTACCAAGGAAGTTCCGAGACATTGGATTTTTACTCTTGAACCTGTTCGCAAACTTGGTGAAAGAGTACACTCCTATTTTTTTCTGGCACAAATCATGCTGCCCTCAAGAAACCTTTCGCGCTCTACAAGCAATAGGAGAAACAAGTTTTTTGTAATGACTATGGACAAAACAAGAAGAACCTAACCAGTCCAGTCAACGGGCGCTCATTTCCAGGTCGAGAAGACCAACTGGCAGCCAACGCAAGAACCGCTTGAACGGCAATGTAGAGACCTGAACAGTGATGAATGACACCAACAATGCTTTCAGTCACAGTCACGAGTCATGCAGATGACTTAAGGACCAATCATAATTTTATTAACACATCTATCTACTTACCTGGGACATTGAAGGAATTCAACATAATTTCTGCGGTGTACTCGCGATTTTCAGGAGTGTTTAAAGGAGGTTCTGTCTGCAAAGAATGAATTAAGTATTAGGTAACCGGCACCTGCTCGTGCGCCTTTATGAAAGGATAGCATACCAGCAGGAAAAAGTGGTCTTCTGGTTCTGCTCTCAAGTATTTAAAAATGCACTGCTCCCAGAACCGTTCCATCAAATCCCAATCCTCAACGATACCATGACGGATCGGATACTGAACAAAAGCAACTACTAAATCCAGAGTGTTTCGGGATTCAAATGGAAAAAAAATGGTGAACATGCGTTGAAACAACACAATAAATAAGACTGAATACATTGCGAAATAAGTAAAGGAGAACAAAATAGTGAAAAAAAATCTGAAGTCAATTAAGAAGAGCTACCTTGGCGGAATAGTTTGCGGCGGCTGGAGAGAGAGCTTCATCGCCAATAAAGAAGTCGAGATCATCTATTCGCCCGCCAGTTGACGTATTCCAGCGAAGAGCAGCAGCATTTGAACTGGCTACTTTGTCTCTCACAGCAATAGCTACAATGGCTTCATAGAGCAGTAAGTCAAAAAAGGAAGAAGAACTACGTTCATCTTCGAACCTCTCAATGAACTGCAGTATAAATATGCGGGAGCTTGCTCCTGGCGAGCTAACAGTTTCGATTTCACAGACTTTACTACAAAGATAAATAGGTTGCGCATACAAAAATTTTGGCGGTTTATCTAAACACTCGTTGCACCGTCCAGCTACAGCTGGGCACTTTTCCCGCTTACAATTTAGCAGGAGCCCCATTGCATCATTGAAATCACATCTTTCGCATTTCACATACTGCCATGGTTATGATATGTATTCTCCATCGTTATTCATGGGAGGAGTATGAACATTACTTCTGGAGAAATTAAGGCCGCGTTCATACTTTGCCAGTGAGGTCCGGCGATTTGAGACTCGACGACCTAGCGTTTTGGGAAATCGGCGAATCTTCGCAAACGACTTCTCCTTACGCCGGAACGAAACTTAAATAGTCCTCATCGCACAGTCTCTCGAGTCACGGAGCCTCTTGAATCATCGGATCTCCCAAATCGCCACATCTACGCAGTTGCATAGTATGAACGCGGACCTAGGCAGAGGTGGTGCACTGGCAAATGGTGCCGCTTATCACACAGGGTCAGCAAGGCACGTGCACGGATCAGCCAAGTCTCAATCTTGGGGCAAGTTAATTGGTACTATAGATATATCCGAGAGAATAAGAAAAATCGCTTGCACACCGGCTGGCCCCGAAATCACTGCTGACCACACTGCATTCAAACAGCCACTACTACTCTGACTGGAAGTAGAAGGGCTGGCGCATCCCACAAAAAGACTGAACAACAGCGAAATATGACTGACACCCTCCCTGCCCCCCCCCCACTCAAATTGCAACTTTAGCTTTCCATAGGAAACGGCAGAAAATCACGGAAATGTGGAAAATGCTTCTCCATATGACCCCTTCTCCCTTCTTTTCCGACACAACCAGCACAACCGTCGAAAGGACGGGTGGGGATAGGTGAAGGGCTCATCATGTAACGCTTCCAGTAACCCGTACCTATCACGTTTCATTCCACATATTTCTTTCCATATGAGAGAGGCGTAAGGAATTTGTAGAGGAATTCAAGTAATTCGAGGCAGATTTTTGACATATATTTCAATTAAGAAAAAATTTTTGGGGATTTAATAACCCCACTTACTGAGGAGACACTTTTTTCGAGTACATACATAGGATCAGTGAAGTTCATACCTGACGGAATAATGAACTGAGGTTCACAGTTCCCAGCATAACCCAGTTTTGTGTATCCCGTACCGTTGTCGATGACGCAGGCTGGTAAATGACCAGCCATGGTGGATAACTCTTCAAGAGGAGCAATTAATTTGATAACCACACATAAGAGCACAACAAGCTATTTTAAGGAACGGAAAGCAAAATGAAAAGAACTAATTTCAGCAATTCCAAAGTTTCAAACTGTCTGATAAAAGCTGTGAGAGAACGGGGAAAGCTCTGTAGCAGCGTGAAGTCAATGGGATTTTCCATAAAGAGAACAGATGACACTGGCTGGAGACACGGCACATTCACAGACATAAGTATGACCACAACAGTATGGAAACAGGTTTTTTTGCAGGGGCAGCTCAGTGAGTCATGAATAAGTTAGTCATAGAGAGTGAAATTGTAGGATCTTTAAGAACGTTGTTTCATGAGAAGTGATCAGACCTATATCTTATCTAACCTCACCTTAAAATCAGCTACCAAAGGAGAAGAAAAGAGGAGATATTCTACATTAACGTCTTAATCCTCTTTAAACAGACATTAGTCACAACACCGCATCTCTGCTGCTATGTACAGGGCAATCAATACAGGACCACCCATGCAGCAATACGTGCATTCGTTGAGGTAAAATTTGGCAAAATAGGACCCCCACCCTCGGAATTTCCTCGTCTGGTAGCACCGCAGTCCTCATCTCCATCCTGTCTACGATCTTTCTGGATTATTCCAACTTCCTACCACTTCTCCGGAGTTTTTTATCAGTTAAAAAACTGTCTAGCAAGGGAGTGGGCATATTGCGGGGAACACTTTTCTCGAAGCCAAATACGACCCTCCCCTTCCCCTACTACAGGTACTACGACCTTCCCAATGTAGATTCATCAATCATAATATGCCGTATTCCTGTTGCCAACGCTTTGCAATCCCGAGATACACTGGTCCGCACACATGAAACACGAAACGCAGTGAAAAGTTAACCACCGAACAAATTCCTCTCAAAGGCTAGTACGACCATCTCCCTCCAGCTATCAAATAGGACCGACCTCCCACTGGGGATCCCCAACGTACGAAGTGTTCACGGATGTAGCCGTTTGAATGGGTTTTTTGAATGAAAGATGACCGCAATAAATTGACAGCTGAGGAAGGGTTGTGTTAAGAAAGTCAGTTGTGCACGCAAACGCACGCAAACCATGTCGCCCTTTGCCATGTCGATGAAAAATTGAGCGGTTTGCAACAAGTCGGATGAAATTCACGTGCGAGTGGCTGGGTTTCTGAGCCTTGGCACGGTGACGTTCATACAGTCGATATCTCGGCTTAGAACGAGGAATGTCTACGCACTTGGTTGTGAGAGCCACGGCGGTGGACAGGTGGTTAAAGGCAGAGCCTGCGTTCAGAAATGATGAATTATGCGGCTCGATGATAGAAAAGGTGGCAACTGAGTCAGTAGTAAAGCTTGAAAAATCATCTAAAATGCCCTGTATAGCACTCCATGCCGAGCTGAGGTCGTATCTGCATAAGGCGAAGAAAGGGTGTGGTCGGACGAGTTCTCACTTGTTCGTGCCAGCTGTTTTCTTATCCCCTCACTCTCACCGTTCGAAGTCGAGAGTTAGTAGAGGAACAACCATCATCAGTGACAGTTAAAAATGAACGTTGGGCGTTGTGGCAGCCAGTGGGTGGAGCAGCAGTCTCTTCACGAGCGGGCAGCGTTTTCGCCTCGTGTTTTTGAGCTATGAAATAAGTACATTCTCAGTGCTCGTAGGAATGGCTGACATATCCAAGGAAAACGTGGGAACATCAAGTGAACTCGGGCTCTGCTTTCAAGCCGAGAGGGCTGTCAGCGGTTAAGTTTTTTTGTACCACTAGCGCTCTCGGACTATCTCCTTGCACAATGAAAGATCGGAAGATCTTTGGGACCTCAAGTGGGCGGTGCTCTTTGATGAGGGACCTAACCTTTTCACAGATTCTTTGACTATCCGACTCCCCGATCCATACGCACTACGCTTCCTTCTCCGGGTTCTCTGAATCTCGGATTCTGCACTGTCGCAGGGTAAGAACGTCCCCTCACCTAGTTCATAATACGAAGAATATGCACAGTAACTAGCCGAAATTTAAAATGCTTTTCTTATACGGCAAAGCCCAACCTGAGGATCTAGAAATACCATTTCTCGTCATTGTCAAGCAAGTCGAAGACCATGATCTGTAGCTTGAAACACTGCCTTAATTCACGTTTTCTATTATAACGTCGCTTAAATGTAATGCGATTCGTCGCCTGATGACTAGGAAAAATAGAAACTGGTTTAGAACTTCAGGAGGAATCGAATACATTAGATACAAATAGGGATTCTGGGTGAGGGACATCATCGATGTGGAAATCACAGAGTGTGGGAGGGGGAAAAAAAGGGTTCGGAAATTTTTCCGATGCTTTGTGCGAAAATGCGGATGCTCGTTGCCCAGCCTCTGCGGCTTCCACCGACACCTGCTGACCTTCTCTCTGAGGTCTTTCCTTATCGCTTCTTGCAATAGCTTCGCAAGCTCAGACGTCAGCTGGTAATTGCCTGCGGCTCGTGCGCTCCACGCTGGCGAATCAGCTCGAGAGTTTCCAGAGATAGACGCTTCTTGGTAACCTTGGAACCCTCTGACTACGTAAGGCGCAGACGTGAAGATGCTCGCACAATCGTTCGTAGTTGCTCGTCCGATGTTGTGGATAACGGAATCGCTCGACGAAAGCACCCAGGAAGAGAAGTAAAGTGATCCCAACTGGTGACGGTCTTGGGACTCTGCGGCTCTCTCGCCTCGCATCGAAAGGCGGGAATTTCGCGCGAAGGAGATAGTGGTCCGAGACCGTGTAGAACTTAGGAACAACAGGGACGTCAGTCAAGTAAAGCCTTCGTTCGAAGATAATGTGGTCGATCTCGTCATGAAATTGCCCCCGCCAGCAGATTCTCATGTTTTGCGTAGAGAGTGGGCTTTTGGAACTGCGAATTACCATGGATGATGTGGGTCGACATGACAAACTCAGACAGCCTTTCACCCTTCTCATTCCACCCTATTCCTGAGTTCCGATGAGAAGTTTTTTATCCGTTGTCTTGGTCCGATCTTAGCGTTGAAATCACCGACGATGACCTTGAAGAAGGTATGATCTTCCTTGTAGAACTTCTCCAATTCCATATAGAACGCTTCGAGCTCATCCTCGTCGTAGCTTGATGTTGGTGCGTAGGCGACGAAGATTGTCAAAGCTGGAGTTGAACCACATCTTAAATTCGCAGTCCGTCGATTCGGGTCGTGATTTTCGTACGAATCGATTTCATGGCCAAGTGCGTGTTGACGAGGACGCCCACACCGCCAACGCCTCTGCTGTGCATGTTCCGAGGAAGTTCTTCTCCAGTCTCGTACACGGCGTGTAGCGGGCGATGCCTCCTCGTCTCAGTCTGTCCGATGACATCGTACTCGATCTTCCTGGCTTGCAACATCAGATCTTCGATGTGAGCTTCCGATGCAAGCGTCCGTGCGTTGAAAGTGCAGATCGTCCGTATAGTCCTGGGCAGCTTGTTTCTGTTTTGACCCTGAAATTCTTGCAGCCTCTTCCCGAACGGTCGCAACCAACGCCACCCTGGTGATAACCTCAGGTTCAGGGAAATGAAGCCCAATTCCATTACTGTTTTCGGTATATAAATTGCCCACGCGTAGCTTGCCAGGCTCTGAATTGGTACTTGGCCGGTTGAAACATTACACCCCACGCCAAATCGAGGCTACGGATAGAAATCGTGGGTTTGTCTGAACGATATACTTCAGCTCATGAAGGAATGCACCGGCATAAAAGAATGAATCCAGAACAGGTTCGCTGCACGGTCATGCTACAGGATGACTCAAAGATGCTAACAGCTGGTTGTAAATATGATGTTCTATTACTTCTACGTCAACGTATTTTTGTGTGGAACTTTATTTACGGCCTAACGTTTCGACCAGATCGTCGTCCTCAGAGGCCTAAACGTAGCTCAAGGTTTTAAAAAAAATAGTGACTGCTTAATATATTTTATACTTTGTAATTATTTTATTTTCTTAAAATTCTAATTTTGGTAGTTTTACTTATATCGATTATTTCTTTCCATACATTATTCTGTGTTTTTGAGTTGTTTGTAGATTTTAAAAATGATGTATTGTGTTTGAACTATTATTGAATGCTCGTACACGAATTCTTAATTTGCTCTCTAACCGCCAACGGCCTTATCGTCGATCTTAGCGTTTCGGCTGTACTTCAGAATACAACCGAAAAACGTACTCCGTAGGCAAAAGCATACTCTCCCAATCAGGCACCGGGCATGAGCGGATCAACGCCGCTCCACTAGATGTTAGTAAAGTAAGTGAGACTCACTGTGCCGTCCTTGTATAGCAGCTATCAGGACTTGCAGGTCTAGACGCACCCTCCAATGTGAAAGTGAAAAAATTTCGATGATCATTGCTGGCACCCCAACCTAGTAGGCGTACGTAAGTTTTCAAAATAATGCTACAGGCGACGACATGAAGGCAGGATATTCTCTCGAGCTGTTCGATGTAACAGTCAGCGTTCACTTTCAGTCCGAGGTCCACGAAGAAAATATCGGTCTTCCCATTCCAGGAACTTCCGGTCCATACCATCAACCCGCGCCTTGGCGACTGCCTGTTGTTATCCTGGACTGTAGCCGATGCTGGAGTCTTCCAGATCGAGTGTTGACCCCAGGTAGCTGTGCATGGGTGACTCCGTACAAGAAGCTTCGCAGCTGTTTGGAATGTTAACGTGAACTCCATAGGCCTTCCCCAGTCAGGCTGCGATTGGAGATGGCTTCATATTTTTGTGTACATGAAGATGTTCGGCGAAAGTCTGCTCCTGCTTATTGAGTAACATCTTGGATATTTGGGTATCTTCCGCCCTGGTACCCCTATCCACGACTTCTTTCTAGAATGGGTATCCTTTACTGATATGTGCCTCGGACGAAGTGTCTTTTTTACGCCCCTCCCCCTCCCCTGTAGAGACGCCAGAGTTCATCTTTTCAAACCACGATGATCACCCGCAAACTTGAATTCATTTTCACCTACGCGAGATAGTGTACTTGAATGGAGTGCTCTTTCTGAGCTTGATTTTGTCAACAGAATGCATCACTATAAAAACTTGCAATTTACGATTTATTAGGAGTGCAGAATGAGGTTTGTTTAGAAGATAGATCAAGGCTGAAATCGCAACATTATTAGAAGGTTATCCTAATCACATCGAAAAATCAGTCACAACGTCAGGGAAAAGGACTCATGCGAGTACACACATCAGATAATCATCAATATAGAGAACAGATTTGCTTATACAAAGGATGATGCTCATACAAACAAATTTATCTAAATTACCTATATCACAAATGATTTTGGAAAGAAATTCATCACGATGGGCAATGAATGCTGCGTAAAAACGCTTGCAAAGCCCCAAAATTATCTTGACCACATCCACACCAACACCACAGTTCCTTTCAAACAGCTTCTTTTTAAAACACTTTTTCATCCTACCGCTGATACCAACAATGACATAAAAACAGCCTGAAAGCTCGCGCTATGTTGACCGTCAGCTCAAGTGCCTCAGATTCAACAATTACAATAAAACATTCGGAGATACTAGAGATTGAAGAGTGAATATATAACCAGTCAGTCGGCTGCATAGTTGATATACATGCGGTCATGTTATACATCACAATCATAGCGTATCAATTTAACCCAAATGGGAACGGTAAAAATTGCCAAGGACAAAAATCTAAAACAATGAATTTCATCAAATCCTAGACTAATAGAATTGTAATAGAATAAATTAAGATCTACACCTACAAGTAAGTCCATGACTTTTTTTGTATATTAACGCAACATAAGTATGCCAACGCGTAATTGCTCATGAAACCATATTGTCATACCCAACCTAATTATGAAATCAAATATATCATCAAAACCGTTATGAGCATAGACGACAGAAACGTGATAAATTTGGAAGATATAAGCTCGACGATAGAGTAAAATATGAATTAGAAAATATATTCTTCATCCGATGACATGGTCATATCGATAGCCCAACGGAACTTTTCTCGCAAGGTTTTATTAAAAACCTGGAAAATAATTGTTGTGAAATTTCTTTCAGTTCAAGAAACTGACTGAAGGAATTCTTTACTACAGAGGGGGCACGCCCTGACATTCAGGGAGATTTCCGCACAGTGCGACCGCTCTCAAAATTTCCTCTTTTGGTCCAGTTTTCTACAAAAAAACTGCCATCGGTCGGGCGGCGTGGAGGGTAGAGGGGAGGGAGGTATGCAGCGCACTTGAAACAGGACAAACCAAGAAAAGTCAGCAATTAAAAATCTTTTCGAAAGCAACTACTACCCCTCTTATCCCTGACGTGCGAATGGCTCTGATTACCGGGCAACACGATTCACAAACCTTTTCTATTGGCACGTTGAATTTCTTGCACCAAGCTACCGAAATCCGGGGATCCAAATAATTAAGCTTTGATGTACCCAACGCGATCTGCTTGTTCTCGTCCTGTAACAATAGAAATATCAATCTTTTTTGAGCCAACATTTGGCGGAAACAGTCTGCTGAAAAAGCTTATCACTGAAGACAAAAAACATACTCTGTCAGTTCTGCTGATTTTTAATTTCTTCAATTGTTCTTTCAAGCGGTCTACTTTCTTCTTTGCCTTCTCCTTCGCAGCACCTCTTGCTTTTTCTAGCTCGGCTTTGGCTTCTTTAAGCTCCCGCTTCTTGTCTTTTATCTGCAATTCTTGAAGACATAATGGAACATGGTAAACATGGTGATGTTCAGACTTGTTTAGTATGATAACTGCATCGCCCGCTTACCGGGCGGTTGCGTTATCCATCATGCCACTGAGGCCACTCTTGCCCTTTCAGCTAAAAGGCTTTTGGGCTATAGCATTACAGCGCTCACATGTCTAGCATGATGAGGTTAGCAGATTTCGGCAGTAAACCGCGAGGCTGAAGGCTTTTCAGCATTCTTGTAATATTCTGAGTGCTGCAAAAATATTGACGCACTGAGGCGCGCTCATCAGCTGGGCGTATTTACTTACTATGAAAATCTCAGGAATCTGTTAATGAATACAATTACCAACACTGACTCTTTGGTTCTCAATAAAGATCGGAAGACAACTTGTCAGCACACTGATATGTACAGGGATAGGACGCCTTAGAAAGTCGTTCTCAGTTTCGTGCCAAACTTTTATCAAACCCATGGATCCTGTGGAAAACGATTACAAGCCTAAGCGTCGACGCACTAGCCGGACACTACTCATGAAGGGTGCCTAGACAATTAGGAAAATTTTCATTCAAGAACGATTGGCTTAATGTCGCATGTCAAGACCATTTGCCTATTCAACGAGGGCAGATCTGTTGGGGAGGGGCAGGGGCGGCTTATGCATAATTTCACGAAGCTGTCAATGTTTTTAGGACGGATGTCACACAGGAGACTTAAAACGACTACTTGCGACGCACTAACAATGCATTGCCCTGCCATTTTCCTCACTGCAGTGATCATTTTCCTTCAACTGAGCCCAGTCTAAAAGCCAAGCGAAAACGAGCAGTCAAACCCCCGGATTCATCTGCGCCTCAACATCAGAGCGATATGTTGCGGTTTTTCCTCCAAAATCATCCTACTGTATTTTTATGGTATTTGTTTGAAGAGATGAGCGTGAGCGTGAGCGTGCTGAAGCGAGTCAATACTTTTTCTATACCTGGCGAAACAGAGCAAAAATCTGGCGTTTAGAGTTCCGCCTCTCTCACAGTCCGAATCTGAATCGGGGACTAGAGTCTCATATTGATCTCACGGTTCGGAAGAAGTGCGATTCAGCTGTTAGCTAAAGAGCGCTTTTCAATAACTTCTTTCCTCGTCATCGAAATCGGCTTTCAGAATAGTTATTTGCGCCCAACCTCGCTGAGTCAAAGGTGGCGATGATTATGAACGCCGCCTGATAGATAACTTGAGATATTGTACCTTTTGCTCCAAATTTTCCATAGCTTTTTCATGCCCTTTCGGCACGGCACGTTGATGGTTACACAGAATGGCAACCATCCGATTTGCCCTATTGTACGAAAGCATCTTCTGGTGAACGTTGTCGTCAGCTAAAACAATAATTCCACAATTTCCTGAGTAGAACCAGTCCTGACAGGTAAACAAATGGCACAAACGAGAACAATAAGTGGTTGCAAATCATAAGCAATTAAGTCAAAACATTCCCAGCTCCAATGTGTTCTAGCATTATCAAGAAGTTTCGGAAAGTAAATCCCAGAGAAAACACATCAGCAGTGCTCAACAAGTCTTGAGAATTGAAGGCAGTGGGCCCGCTGGGGGGAGGGGGGGGGAACTACCAGTGTCTAGGTAGAAAAACTGTAGAAGGGTGTTTCAGGCACAACTAAATTTGTCCTTCAACAAGGCGAGCCGTACCCTCCCAGCAAGGTTATGATCCCCAACAGGTCTGATTTAGAGAAAGCAGATGGGAAGGATGGGAGCAATTCGGTCTTGTCATGTACCACCCCTCCATACCCCTAATCGAATAACATAGCTTTCGCAGTATCATCAGAATCCTCACACCTTATAATTGTCACTATAGTCTCCTAAAGACATTTGCCGCGAACAAGCGGCAAGTCAAATGCCCCCCCCCGCGTCCTTCAATCTCTTCTCCTACTTTCTCAATCGCCTTTTTCCGAGGGAAAGTCACTCAGCGACTACCGGTTCTCAGCTACCCATAAGGAATGAACGCAGGACTTGTCTTGTAACTATTAAGCGTTCAGACTTCGCGACAATGCGCGTCAACGCGATATAACGCGCTACGACTGCACCACCACTTCAAAGCTACGGACGCGAACCAGCCGCAGACGGGAATCCAGCGGCTCCGGCTGCTTGTGCATTGAATGAGTATGAGGAAACAGGAAATACGGGTTGCCTAACAACGCAGACTGGCATTGATCGGTATTGGCCACTATGGCCTTTGGAGAGCGTAATGAAACGGGAGAGTACCGTACTGTGTGAAGGCAGTAGGCTGCCCTCCCCCCCCCATCCCCTGTAATACCACTCTCTTCAAACACAAGCAGCCGGCACCGCGAACGCAGCCGCAGACGGGAACTCTGTCTGTGGCTGCGTTCGCGTCTATGGAAATGAAACACTGTTGCAATTGTGGCGCGTCGACGCGCGTCATCGCGAACTTTGGATGCTGCCTTTTAATAACCACGATTACTTAAACATACGGTTTGTTAGTTTGGCTAACTGCTGCTGAAGAGTGATAGATGCGTTGTAAGTACGGAACACCTTCACAGTGAGGCCGTCCATAAGAGAGCGTAAATGTTCGTTGAGTGAAGCAGTCTGTAATAATCAGAAGTCACACCACGGCAACTGCAATGAACTCAAAACAACTGTAGCTCTGTATATTAAACCTCTGCTTTAAAAACCTATGGATGTTCAAAAGACTCACATCAAGCCTATCGAAGAGATCGTCTCCTGGTTCTTTGTTATCCATGAAAAGCTGGAGATTTTTGAAAACCCGCTTCTCGACCGGTACTTGATTGAAGTAACGGATGGAGTCTTTACCGAGGAAGTCAAACTCCACCACATATCTAAAATGGGAATGAAATCTCAAGCTTGAACGTGTTCTAGGTTTTCTGGGTAATGTAAAGCAAATGCCCACTCTTTGTCTTCAAGTTTCTCGTATAGCTTGATATGCTCACAACGCAATGAACAACAACCAACAGTATCAGCCGCTTCGTCGACGTCCTTTTCATTACCTGCTCGAAGAGCGAGCTGAATAAATAGAGAATTATCGCACTTTTAATTATTTGCACTGTTTCGTCAAAGCAGATAACCAAACAAGGATAAAACGGAATGGATCGCATGTGAACGTTGAAAGGAAAAGATACTATACCTTATCGATGAAGTAGAGCGCAACCGCCCTTTGCCGCACACGCATTTCTTTCGATTTCCAATCAGCAGTATAAACCGCTCTAATGTCATCAATCCGAGATTTCAAGCGCCGCGCAGTTTCGTACTTCTCGTAGTCTTTCTCACCCTGGGAACAAAATAATGGTAAACATGAGGGAATATTCAAATGAGTCATAAAAAATAAAAAGGTAAACTTCAGACCAATCCCTCTTTAGAGATTTCCGTTAAGAAACTTGGTGACTTATTGAATGCGAAACGACGTCCTTTTACCCTTTACTGCCCAATCTTTCGCAAACAAATGAGTTCTTTAACAACTTTCTCGCAGAGGGCAGATTTGGATGAAGCGGTATGCTTTCCCAGCCGTCTGAGACTGATAGAGACACTTGATTGTGCAAACGTCACGGCTAACTCGCTTGCTTTGCAACAGCTCACCCAATAAACATTTCACACTGCAGTAAGAAAACACAGACTAGGAAACCCTAGAATCAGTCGTAAGACACTATTCTCTTGACGGATAGAAGTTCTACCAGGACTCTAAAGTCTACAAGAGGCATGATACCTTTATATTTCCTAAAAACTCCGGATTGACAAGTCGTCCGAGGGGCTTCAGCGGAACATGTACGGTACGAGTCACCGATCCGCGGGATTGCTACTGCTTGTTGCTTAGGAAGCGAGAACGGTAAGGGACAAATTTGCACTTGTTGAGGCCGACCAAACGTTGAAGCGTGAAAACAAGCTGATGGGTGCAATTGCAATTTGAAATTTGAAGGGTGACCCGAGAACGTAGAAGTTCGCATCAGGACTGATCATGTAGCTCCATCGTCTCAAAGGGCCGCCAGATGATGCGAGCGCATCCAACAAAAACTATCGATTTTACGGCTAAAAGTTGAAAACCCGTGTCGCGGGGTATTGAATGCGTAGATCAGAAGCCACAAAGGTCCGCGAAGGGTACTAGCCCCTGGTGATCGCAATGCACTTATCCTTCTTGTTGATTTTAAGGCTCTTAGCAGCAACCTACAAGGCTTCAAGTGTCTTGCTGGCCGATACATACTGTTCCTGTCTAGAATCACGATTTTAACCACATTGTCCTCACTCTGTGATGTTTTTGAGAGCCTTTTTGAACACCAAGAGAAGTGCATAGGTTGAAGCTCTCCAGACCATCGCTCCTTCACCACCCCACGCACGCTGAACAGTCTTTCTTGTTTTACCCATACTCATCCCGCCACACCTAACACATGATGAGGTAGACGAGTCCTGAGGTTATAAAATCCGCGCTCATTTCGAATGGAAAGATTACGCAGGATTGGGTTAGACAAGATCGGTCATAGAGACGATTCCGGGCAGACTGCGTCGTCTGGATTAGGGAAGGATCTCGACTAATCCAACCACGTCCAGGCGATCCGCTTCCCGTAAGCAGACGCGTAAATCTGCGCTCAGTCATCCAAATTAAACGGGATACGGAATGACGGCTTGGTCTGCTTTGCTTCCTGTCTGCCGTCTTAGCACGTCTTCTGTGCCGTGTCAGCAGTCAACGGCGAGTATGAGCATTCTCCTCTGCTATACGATAGCCAGTGTCATCGATTCTATTCTGCACGCATCTACAGATGAGCTGCAGAAGCCGTTAAGAGCATGCTTGTGATAATTGGCATTCCCTTTTGGTATTAGAGGGATAAGATGAGCTGGAATGAAAATTATGTTTTCGCTGCAAAGTTTTTGATACCACCTGGTTCTATCAACTCCTCGCGAGAAATGTATCTGTGCGTTGAGGAAGGCGAGCCCAGTTTCTGTCGCTCTCTCGGTAGCGAAGTTTATGTGCTCAACCTGCTGATTTAGCAGGTGAAAACACGCACGTGACCATCTCCCATTGGGTGGGCATATAATGTAACAATCCGGGGACTGCGAAGTGGTACTAGATCCGCCCAGAGGTTAGAGAAAAGGAAGTCATATGGAGGGGCGTCACTGCGGCCACCGGATCGTACCCATCACGACCATAATTAGTCACATTACTAACCTTAATCTTACTACTCGGATTCAGCATTATGTATTTGTTTTGCCCTAGAACGTTTTCGGTCCACGATACCAGCCACGTTACGGTGTTGTCGTGCCGAACTTCTTTCCATTTGCGACCATCTGGAGCCACTGGTATCTCGCTATCCCTGGAACGTGAAAACATCAGTGCGAAGTAAAAATTAAATACATTCACATTATGCATTTGGTTCTCCGACTGATGATGCATTTCAGGCACATACTGGAAACATAAATAAACAGGTAAACAACTGACTTGGAGCAGTTGATGATAACATCTTCAGGTCTGATCCGTTTCTTCAGCATACCCATTTTCGGATGACCACCTCGACCACGGAACAATCCTGAAAGCAGTTGACTGAGGTACGACCGGAAAGAATAACAGAAGACAAACTTTAAAAGTGACTAACCTGGAGGCTCTATCCTGAAGTTTCCAACCTTTTGCTTATGACCATCAATGAACGCAACACCGTAAATTTTCGCTTCGGCCTCTTTCGCTTCCTAATGGAGCAACTGATTAACTCCAGGCAAGTGGTATTCTATTTTACTACTTTGTTACAATCTACCTTGATCTTAGCTTTCTCTTCCTTACTCATGGACTTCCGTATTTCGGATTGTTCTTTGAAATAAACATCCATCTGCCGGAAGTCACACTTGTTCAAGTCAGTAATTAATTCGCGTTCCGATGGAGTCATTACCTAGACATTACCACTGGTCGAACAAAACCAAAAAAATCATGAGTGATTGACGTTCGCCGCATGCGCTGTACATGAAGGATCACTTACCTTTCGCCAGTCACGGAAAAAGTTCTTGTTAAATGCTTCTTTTGTGGTATACTCGTGATCTAACATTTTTGCATAAAACGTTGCAACTTCTTCTGCCTCTTCAGAAAGGAGAACAACCTGAATCAAAATACTGTCGGATGCTCTTTGATGCGCGTCTACATGTCAAGAGAACACTTTGAAGAAAGCCGCACCTTCCCGTCGTACTTGAACTTGACGTGTTCTGGCAGGCGTTCATACGGCGGTGCAAAAAGTGGCCCTTTGTGGTGAAGGCTGTTCCATTTCACACCAGCTGGCTTCTTCTCTTCTTTCCACCTCAAAATCCAAGCAATATGATAATGCAAAGCAGAAGATAGAACAAGGGCATATGGTCATTTCGAGACTATCTCACCATTCCCAGACATCTTCTGGTTCCTCCTCCTTCTTCTTTCGTCTCTGGGTTGGTTCACCATTCTCCCTTTTAACTTCTTTCTTCGAAGACTTACTTGACGATGAGGACTTCTTCTCACTTCTTTCCTTTTCTTTCTTTTTCTTCTTCTTAAATAATAAAATGGTCGTCCGTAACGCATAGAAAAATAAAACTAAAAATTCTAATGGAAGACGCCATTGCAGCCACCCAACCACATCCACAACAACCCACAAGCAGGGCTTTACATCCAAGTATATAGCTAATTTTTCTAGTCTGCTATCCCAAGCTTAGCTTGAGCTCACCTTCTTGGACTCTGTGTAGTCGTCTTCACTATCACTTTCTCGCTTCTTTTTCTTTTTGTCTTTCTTTGCTTTCTTTTCTTCAAAGTCCGAGTCAGGCTCAATCTTCGGTTTCTTCTTGGCAGATGGCGCCGAATCTTTCTTCAGCCTTTCAGACCATGGAATGTCATCTTCATCCGAAACCTAGTCAAACCCACCATACAGTGTTACTATTCGAAGAGTCAAATAAACAGGGCGTTGCAAGGGCCTAACTTTCACAAAGGACTTTCTAACTTGACTGGGACAAGACTACTACATGGTGCTATGAGGACTATTGAGTTCCACATGCTTGCCCTCCATTTCAGCAGCAGGTTTCCTATGTTGCCTGAGTATACCGTGAAAGCCCGCTTTTCAAAAGTTATAGGTGACGTTTCAGGCTTAAATCTCGCTTCAGACCGCTGAAAGCTAAAGCAAAATCAACGAACAGATAGGGAGCATTCATAAGTAAACTGTAACAATCTATCGAAAACATCTCACGAAATGTGGGAAAGGGTGGCAGGAGGCAGCCAAATCAGAAGGACACTGGTAGAAAAAAAGGGAATGAGTGTTCAACAGGTTTCCAGTGTAGAACAGATTAGGACCGAAGATTGTCCCCAGGTTGTTCTACCTGGGAACCCGCAGAACCTTTATTTCCATATTCCTACCAATACCTTCCCGGACTGACTACCTCCTCCCTTCTTCCCTCTTCGTGAGACGTTTCTGGTAAGATGCTTTGCTGTTCTTTTACCAATGCGCTTTTCTGTAAGTTGAATTTGTTTGAGTTTTTACTTGATCAGAGGAAGGGCACAGGCCCGAAACGTCATCAATAAAACTTTTGAAAAGAGGGGCTTTTGTTGCATATTTAGGCCATCTCCAACGTGATGAAGCTTCGGGCACCGCTACTACTATGTTTCATATCCAACACCAGTCCTGTTGGTGAACGACTGCATCCCGACATAACAAGGAAAACCATCATGCAAGGTGAATGCACACACAACACATATCCACATAAAGAAGTTTGTGAAGATTGATAGTCGGCCGCTCCAAGAAGTTCGCAACAAAAAGCATGCAGAACAAGCACTGCACATTAAAAAGTTTTGGCACAGTGGTTTCAAAATATACAAGAGCGGACCTCTGGTTTGTATTCATCTTCGCTGTCACTTCCACCCTTTCTTTTCTTATCCTTCTTCTTCTCGGATGGCTTATCCTTCTTTTCTTTAGCCATACGTTCAGCCCAAGGAATGTCATCATCGTCAGAGTACTCTTCTTTTATCTG